AGAAGAAAAAAGCCACACACACAAACACACACACACACACACACCCAACACTGGCAGGGCAAGCCACAGTATATAAACAGAGAGCAAACCCCATTCTGTTCTAGCACTGAAGATGTTACCTAGCTGGGTAACAAAACGACTGCAAGAAAACAACCAAGCTCAGAGAACCCCAAGGACTCCACAGTTCAACTCTGAGCCACACATATTCGCTTCTATTCTTATCATATTTGTCTAACCAATTAAAGAGAGCAATCAGTGGTTGTTTTTCCCAACAAGGTAGAAGGGAAACACCACTAGGAGAATCAACCATATGTTATCCTTCAGTTATCCTGCATCAAAGCTGCAAGGCTAGCACTGGTGTGGCATTAGGATGAACCCAGGGCAGAGCGATTTATGCCTGCATAATTCTCTGCCAATTCAAGAACTGACATGTTGTACCCAAACTGAAAAGATGGAGCAATAGATGATCTATATGGGTACATTCAATAATACATTAAAGAACTGAGCTAGTCCCATATTAACATTTATCTAGCATGTATTTTTAGTTTCTACAAATGTCACTCATTTAATCACTATTCTGTATATTCATTTCTGATTTGATTTGCACTGTTATATTTGTGTTTGTATTTCATCATATCTTCTGGTTGTTATGTTTACCAATAAAATAAAAACATTTTTTTAAACAATAACAATTTATGGTAATGCGGCCATCTGGAAAAGCCAGCAAACTACAGTCAGTCTGCATTTATGTGGTCCTCTCCTTTTTCCTTCATTCCAATAGTATTCTATGTTATTTTTCATTTTTCTAATGTACATGTGCTTTAAGTAGGAAGGGGAAAGAAAAAAAGGGGAGTCCTTATCTGCAGTACTTCCTATGAAAAACATGGTTGAGTTCACATAAACCACGGTTAACAAATGACAGAGGCTGAGCTCACACAAAAATCGACTTTGGCTTAACACAGTATACAATCCCAGTATGCCGAAAGAAACCAACACTTAGCTTTTTCTTTTTCTCTTGCTCCAAGCCCATATTTGAGGGCTCTTAATTCCCTTTACCTGGACCAGTGTTTCTCAATCTCATCATCTTTAAGATGTGTGGACTTCAACTCCCAGAATTCCCCAGCCAGTATGCTGGCTAGGGAAGCCTGGGAGTTGAAGTTCACACGTCTTAAAGTGGCTGAGGTTGAGAAACACTGATCTAGAGAGAGAAACTTTGGATACCACGTGACCCTTTTCCACGCACAAGACCCGGTTCGAGGGATCATAAAGTGGCCATAGCGTGGGAACCGTGGCTTACTGAGCAAGCCACGCTTAAGCAATCCAGGGCTTAACTGGCATCCAATCCTGTCTGACTTGGATATTTTATCCCAGAGAAGGAGAAAGGGGCACCCTCACGCCGGTGGACAGAAACGAGGATGGAAGACCGCTGCCCAGGCTGGCCGAGAGCGCGGCATCCCCAGGGACCGACGGCGCGCGGACCCTCACGGCCTCGCGCCTGGCCACACCCCTAAAGTGGCCGGAGGTCTGGCGGTCACATGGGCTCTCTCAGCAAGGTGGGAAGGACGAGCGCTTTGAACTGCGAGCGCAGCCCGCTTGAGGACCGATAAAGTTGCAGCTCCGCTTCCGCGGGAATTTCTGATTCTCCGCCCGGCTCAGAAATGCCTAACTTTGCAAGGTAAAAAAAAAAAGAGGGAAGATTTCTAGGATTTGTTTTAACCTCTGCTTTCTGTTGCACTTTATTTTCCTTCTTGCGATAACCGTTGCAAGCCTCAAACCCTCCATCTCGGGAGACCCGCTTGCAGCGAGAGAGAAGATGCCCTCCAGTCCCCCGAACCCGCTATGCCTATTTTCTCCTTTGCAGCTTTTCTTTTGTAAGTCCCCCTTCTTAGCCTCTCTTCCCCGCCCTTCCTGATTTTCCGTCCTCTGATTCGAAGGTCCGCCTGTCAGTCAGCAGCTTGACTTTTGCCTCTCTCCACCTTCCTGATGGAGTGTTGCTGCCCCGCCTTCTTCCTCCGCTATTGTTCTGCCTCTTTGGAGGAGGCTCCGATTGGGCCGATGACGTGCTCGTCCTGCAGCCGGCCCAATCGCAGCCGGCTTGCTTGCCAACGGGCGAGCCGGGAACTTGCGAGTAAGTGTGCGACTGTAGGAAGGGGAGCAGAGGAGCTTTTAGGCGGCGAGGGGGGTCGGGAGACTCGTGGGAACGCGCCATGGCTGTCATAGCCTAGGAGAGCAGCTCCGAAAGTGCGGGGGACCATCGCCAGGCGGACTTGCTGGGAACGGAGAGGACTTGCTGGGAACAGGGCGGATGTACCCCCGAGTTGATATTTCTGAAATATATTTAAAAGCACGCGCAACGTCCCAGATTTAAGTGCCCCGCGAGAAGGACGAAGAGGCTGTCATCACGGGCCCATCCCCGGGCAGCTAGCGGTCTGGGCTGTGTGCTTTTACGTGAGAGAGCCTGCCATCTTCTGCATCTGTTTTCCCCTGTTTCAGAGCAGGTTGGGTTTTGGAAGGAGGAGATCTGGGTTCTGGAAGAGGGGAGCCCTTGGCCTCTCGGATTCGGCCACGCACCGTTTGCAAATCTCCAACTTCTGCTAAAGGAAATGCCCAGCTAGATTGGTGGAAGTCACCGGGGAAATCAGTAAGGGAGCTAAGACGGCTATAGACTAGCTTCCTGAATCTTGCACCCTGCAGATGTATTGGATCTTTGTCCCATACATCTGAAGCTTATATCAGCCCCAGTCAACACAGTCCTTTTGGCTGGGTAGTGGAGTTTGGTCCAGCCTAACTGGGGAGCACGAGACTATAGAAAGTTGCCAAAAAAGTCCTATAAAATTTCTTTATATATATATATACATATAACAGATGTATATCCATAGCTTGACGTGCAATATTGCAATTTCTCAACACCCACCCACCTCTTGCTGTTAGTAAACAGGTTTCTGTACTGAGGCACCCCCTCCTCCTGTTTCTTCCTGGGCCCTACAAGGCCTAAATACTACTGATACAACAGGCTTAATTCAATTTTTTTTTTTTATGTATGAATGGAAAATTGTGTTGAGTCCCCAACTCAAGCTTTAAAAATGCAAAATTACTTGTGGCTTGGCTATATTATATCAAGCTTCAAATGCAGACATTTAATTGGTGTAGTGTTTTAAGGGAGTTGCTATTTCAGTTTGTTACCTCATTAAATGGCTCCATTAATTAATGCCCTGCTTTTATAATCTGAATATCTGCAGGCATGGCTGGGTGAAGGCAATGTTATCTTCATGTGATCTTGTTTTGTGCTGGATTCTGATACTGGAACTTAAACAGTTTTACATGGAGGTAAATTGCACATTGCACAATGGAAAAAAAGTAGTCATCTTACTTGATTTATGAATAACATTTGAATCATAAAATATTGAGGATGAGTACTATGTGAATAAAATTTTCTTATAAATAAAGTGAAATCATACCACTGTATTTCTCTTTCAGTTCAGGAAAGAGCTTCAGGCTTATTCATAGTTACTCCCAACTGTTGAACGGTAGATTTTTAATGTATGTAGTTCCCTTTGGATTCAAGCCATGAATAGATTACAGGAGCTAGTTCCATAGAGCACAAGATGGTTCTTCTATTACGTGTGAGGCATATACATTCTTTTAAAACAAATTTCTGATTGTGTATTTCTTTAAGAAAGCAGCATATTAAACATATAAAGTGGTATTACGTTTATGCAATCAGGACGACCAAACAAGGAACCTCAGAATAATCAGTACAATTTTCTTTGCTCTATTTGTAGAAGGTTAATGTATGGCTTCTCATTTGACAGCAAGGGCCTAAAGAAGAGAATGGCTGGCAATTATGATCTCTTAAAAAGTCTGCAGAATAACTTGCAAGAACTGAACAACCTCCGGACAAAATATTTTGCATCAACAAAACGTCCATCGTCAGTCGGGATTAAGTCATTGCTTTGTGACCAACAGCAACTGCCAGGGGAGAATATGAACATCCAGTCATTTGCTTCTAGGAAGAGTATCCGCCACCGTAATCCTTACTGGCCGGATGAAGAAATACGGACCTTCATTGAGATCTGGGGTGATGACCAAGTCCAAGCCTCACTGGCTACCAACTTTCGCAATGAGGCCCAATATGAGTGGATCTCCGATAGGATGCGAGAATATGGCTATGACCGGGATATGAAGCAGTGTCGTTTGCGTGCCAAGGAGCTTCGGCGAGGATACAAGGCAATTGTTTGTGGAAACAACTCTTCAGTGAGTGGTCAACGCGCCTTGCCCTTTTATGATGCTTTGAACAGTTTCCTGTGCATGCACAAGGGTCTTGTGGTGTCCAAAGTTTCTCTATCTATAGATAGGAGGAATCGAGAAGCCCAAAAATTGGGCTTGGAGCAAGAAAAAAATGAAAAGCTAAGTGTTGTCTTGGTTTCTGATGATGATGAAGCATCCATCCCAGAACCTACAGATGACTCCAATGGTTATTTTCAAGACGCACAGATGGATTCTGAACCTGTAAACGCCCAGTCTCCAGGTGATGAATGGGAGCCACATGGAGAAGATGGCATTCTTGCAAGAGATGTGGCTTCACCCAGTTTTCCCAATGCAAGAGCGGATGGTCATTCCATCAGTTCAGGTGAACATTAAGAATTACAGCCCTGCTTTCAGAAATAAGGGTTTTCTGATATTATGATTTAGGCTCAATTAAATTGGGATTGTAGTAGGGGGGCTGTGCTTGTTCTTTAAATGGATGGTGAAATACTGTCATTTAATGTTGCATAAAATTAATTCCATTCACCTAAGTGCACACATTTTGATGTTGCTTACTTATTGAAATGTTTGCACCTGTTCAGAGGTTGCTTCTCGATCATGATTTGACTTGCCCCAAGGTTAAATGTTAATGAATTCTGATGAAATTAAGATCTAAGCATAGATTGGCTTTTGCCATTTGATAACTTCTATTCCTTTCTTTCAATGCAGGCCCATCTGGCACTTTCCCCAGGGCATCCCTGGTTGATGCTGACAGAATAAGCAGCAACCACTGGAACAGGAAACAGAGGAGACAAACTGAAACTGCTTCAGACATAGTAGATGCCATTTCCCAAGTGGGTGACAGACTAGTAAATGCTCTGTCTGATTTGCACTCAAAACACAGTGAAACCTCTGAACTTGCACAGGGCAGAGCGAGTGATGCCCATAAGGAGGAGTTTACCATACTTGCCAATCATGTGAATCAGGCCACTCAAAACATGGACAAACTGATTGCTCTCGTGGAGACATCTACCAGACGGATTGCGGATGCCATGGACAGACAGACAGCTGCCTTGGAGAATCTGGCACAGTTGTTTGCTGCAAGAGCACCGGCAGTTTCAGTGCCTTTGGCATCCCAGGAGCAATCTGTGGTGTCTTCTCCGAGAATGTGTGTATCAGTCCCATCGCCCCCCACAGAATTATACAATACTATGAACACTTTAAGGGGGAATTGCACTGCTAATCAGAAAGCACCAGACTTGCCTGCTGAAGAATGCCAACCAGTGGCAAAGAAAATAAAAACAGAAGACTAACGTAATTTGTTCAAAAATCCTCAGACGTTCTGTTCTCATGAGATGAAAATTCATCCTTTTTCTTTCTTTTTTTAAATGCAATGGGGAAAAGTAAGGAAGGTGGCTGATATAAGAAATATTGTGGCTTTATTTTTTTTAATAAAAAGATTTGTAGCTCCAGCATTATATTTGTAGGTGGATTTATATAGTGTTTGGAAGGGTGAATGTTGCCCATTATGATGAAATTGTAGGGTTCATTGGCATTCCATTATTCTGTAGTTTGATTTCTATTCTGCTGTTTAAGTATGCAACAGGCCGTGGTCCTATACACACTTACTTGGGCATAAGATATGTAGGCTTTATTTCAGATTGTGACTGTGGTCAGGATGTTGGCTTTGGACCTGAAGAACATATTCAGAATTTTAGCACAGCCATGAACATGCTGGATGGCTTTTAGTAGAGTCTTCTGAGACACAGTTTTTCTGATCTCTAGATGAATAGTACAAGTGACTTACATCATTTGGTGATTCAAAGATGAACAGTTTAAAAGATTGTTAATCATGGATATTGCCACCGGTATAGAAAATAAGAGTAGAGAACTCTTTGTGCTATATAAATCCTGTTATTAAATCAATAAGATATGCTACTACTAATGGGCTATTTTTCTCCCTAATTTCACTGATACCATGTGCCAGATAAATCAGTTGGTAACAAAAAAAAATTCTCCATTTTTTTTTACATACACTTTTTAAGATAATTGCTGCTGCTTTTAGAAGATTGAGAGCCATCTGCTGAAAGCCATGCTCATGTCCCCTCCACTTTGAAGCTGAAATGAAGCCAAATGCATGGTGAAAGGAAGCATAGGAAACTTTTGACTTAAACCTGCTTATGATATTTGTGTTTTCTGAGTTCTATGCAATTGAAATACTTGCCCTGTTTTAAAGATAAGGAAGCACAGTCTCATTAATTGTTGGACACCAGTTCCCATTACCTGCAGCCACCATACCCCATGGCAGGGCTGTTGAGAGAGATGTCCAAAAGCATTTGATGAGCCAGTTAAGTTCCTCACCTCTGGACTTAATTCAGCATTTATTTCTAATAGCAGCAAACTAGGTGTCTTTGGGCAGATCACCAAGAATGACAAACATCTGACTTCTATATGTAATGCTCAGTGCTGCTTCACTGTTTGGGAGAGAGCCATATTATGGCTTAGTGCAATGTGTAAATTTGGGCTATTATCCTTTAGGTAGGGTAGCTATTTTTGGTATACAAAGGTTTATTAATCTCATGACTAATACAGGGTAGGAAAGCAGGTTCTTTTCAGATGTTTTGGATTACACTCACTTTCTTCTATTATGGATGTTGTTGGCAGGAGCTAATGGGAATCAGACCAACATCTGGAGGGCACATGGTTGACTATCCCTGACTTCCCCAGAACTACTTATTAAACGCTGTTTTTTCTGAATTTGGAAAACTGAAATTCTATTTAATTTTTTCACCAAGTGATAAGAATATCAAAGCCTAAACAGTGTAACTTTCTTTTTTCCAGACAAATAATCCAAGTAAAGTTCTCTCTTTCTGCTTTCTTTTTTCCTTTTTCAGGTAAGATGCCAAAATTGCTTTCAGAAATTTGGTTCTTTTTTTGAAGAATATAATGCAGTCCAGTTTCTTTCCCTTCTATAACTCTTTGGTTATGTGCTACTCCTCTAGACCCCACTCTTCCCTCCCCCCCAAAAAATATTCAGCACTAATATGGCAATTAGAGATAAGAAAAATCTCCCCCTGATGCTAATGGGATCTTTTTTCTCATCAGTCTGTTGCCTGTGGGATGGGGAAGATCATGGACTTTGCCAAAATACCCCCCTCGGCACACCACAACCCCTTTTTTCCTCTGGCATTGGAAACTCTTTTTGTAAATGTAATTACCATATGTGAAAGAGCACCCTCAAATGTAACACAAACATGAATTCTATAAGACCATAGAAATTAAAGGTATTCATTTTACTGTAACCATTCAAAAGCTGCTACTTAGGTATGGCCTCAAATTTCTTTGAGGTGGCCATTTTTGTTCCATTTCAGGTGTGGGCAAATGTTGTAGTTGTGCAAATTGTTTAGTCTGGGGGCCATAGTTTAATTGGCATGCTGAGGATTGCTCTTCAAAAAGTGAGGAGAACAAGGGAAAGAAGGCAAGACAAGTCCTTTAAGTTGCAGTAAAATAAAGTGGATGTACATTGGATACAACTACATACATTATTTTCCTCTGTATCTTAAAAAATACAATTTAGCAGCAATTTTTGAAAGCACTTGGAGAGTTGCACGCAGAATTGTTGTAGGGTTGCATGTCGCTCTGGGGCTTTTGACTATGTACCTTGTGATTAGAGAAAAGTTGGAGTTATCGCAAAGATTGCGGTGTCGTGTAGAATGCTTTTCTGAATTCTAGCTGGTTGTCTCCTTTCCATCCTTTGTCCTCCAGGTTTTTCCCTCAAGACTCATTTAGCATTCTGTGGTGAAATGCTGATATTTAATGTCTTGTTCACAGGGCAGGGAGGAAGGAAGGGGGCCGGCTTTCTTTTTTGCTTTGGAGGAGCGATTGCCCTCTAATTTGTACTTCTGGAAATCTCAGGTTACTCCTCCAAGCGTGAGGATTTCTCTCTTGTATTTGTCACTGGCCCCATTTTTACTACAATCTTGTTGGCACAGACTAGTTGAATGTATTATTGGAGGGAATAAGAATAATGGGGGTGGGGGGTTTCTTGATAGAAAAGAGGGGAAAGAATATAGCAGATAATATCCTATAACTCAGTGTGGACTCAGGGAGGCAAGAAATTTGGAGAAGATTGCAATACATTGCACACAGCCACTTTTAATTTAATTTAATCTTTTTTTCTCCTCAGATGCCTATTTGTAACCAGGATCTGGCACTCTACTACATAAACTCAGGGTTATATATTTCCTGAGTAATGCTATTTTAGCTTTCATAAGCTTTCGCCATTTTTACATATCTAAACTACCAGCAAAGTTGGATAGTAAAAATTGAAATAAGGTAGTAAGTGACAGCTTATTAGGATTGGTATGTATGATCATTCCAAAATATGTTATTTAGGTAGTTTTGAGTCCTGCTGAATGGAAATGGACCTACTGTTTGGTAAACAAGCATGGGATTATGGTTTCTGGTCTGAGACAAGTTACTTACAATGTTTATGCAGGAAATGAGCAGAAGAGAATCATTTGAAAACAATTCCATTGCAATTGACATGGATTTATCAAGAGAAGAAATGCACTGACTGATCTAAATACCATTTGTGAATTCAGTCTAGGGATTTCAATTAAATCCCATAAAAAGTAATGCTTCTAAGGGAAGTAATAACATTTAAACTTCTTCGTATTTGGGGTATAAGTGCAATTAAATCTACACATAATTCCCAATAACTGCAGATGATTTTGTGCAAGTAATAATCTACATTAAAGGGACCCAAATTAACATACTCCTAATGTTAACATGCTATTTCATAGCTGTTTATCAGGACATTGATTCAGTTCCATTTCTATTAGCAAGGGGTTAACGTTAATGAAAATTGAATGCTTAAAAACCCTTTCCAGAACAACTTTTAAACATAATTCAGAAATCACTATTGTAATCCATGTAAGTGCAATTTTGCCTACCACAGCACTTCTTCATTTTTTACAGCCAATTTACTTTGCAGGCATTGTATTAGTCCAGTTCATCTCTAATGACTCAAATCATGGCATTGCAGGTCTATAGAAACTGTCTCTGTAGCTTATGATTCGGAGGGGGGAGGGGGGAGGGGAGCTTTCTTAAGAGTCTTGTTGCTCTCCGGTATAGAAAACAGGAGAGAGTACTCTTCCCCTGGTCATTTCACTGGTTCGTGTTCTACTACTACTGCTGCTGCTGCTACTACTACGATCAGCTACAATTATTTGTGGAACTGCACAAGGCCAAAGGTGGTGTAAATGCTGACATGGCCAGGACTGTGCCTCTTCTATGTTTTTGCCCTGCCTGTTTGTTGTCTCCGCTTTTGTATTGCAAAAGATTCAAACCAGTTCAGACAAATACAAGGTATGGAGCTAGCTACCTGATCCATAATATTCATTACCTGTGTCACCTTCCCAGATAAGGATTTTTAACTTCCTGATTTGACCTGTTTGCTTCAATTTTTCTCTGGCATATCAAGTATAAAAAGTGTTGTTTTGCTGAGCCAAGGGTGTGTGCAGCAGGTTTTTCTTTATTTCACTAATGCTTGTTCTACCAGGTAGTAATCACAATTAGTGTTTTTGGTTTTGACATCCAGTCAAAATAAAAAAGTAAATCTGCTGGCAATGTTTTAAATACTGGACTGAATGGAAATTGTTGTTCCTGATTAACTGCAAGATGAGGTTTAGGTGTAGACCAAAAAGATTTAGAAAGAGAGGCTTATTTTGAAATAATTTTTAAAGTAAGCTGTTACTGGATTGGCTGGAATGAACTTAATATTTTCTGCCAGGATGTCCTGCTTAGCAGATTGTAATGGACTGAGAGGTTGTACTTTGTCAAAAACACTGAGTCTGCCCGTCTCTCCTCATAACTACACTCACAGGGCAAATGGTTCAAGAAAAGCTAGGACTAAGCCCCCCAGATTTAAGCTTAAAAATTCCAGAACGCCCCTAGAGACATAAAATGTTACTTTTCCTCTATCTCTTTGCAGCCATATGATTACTGCCCAGATTTTGAAGCCCCAAAGGTTCTAGGTCTTACTGCCTTCCCAAGCTGAAAAGCCCACATCTGTTTTGTTTTGGCTGAATCCAGAACAGGACATCGTTTCAAGTTTTGTTTCATATAGATTTCAGCTAGCCCAAACCAGAACTTACAGAACAAGACTATTGGCTTGGTTTTTCATTTCCACATCCACAATCCTAGAATTTTGACCAAGATCCAAGGATTCACAATCCTTCAGCCAAGTGCTGCAGCTAACCTTTCTGGAGCTATACTCCAACATTTTTGTAGGATTGGGGCAAAAAAAGTGGATGAGGTCAGCCCAAAAAGTAAATTTGATCTGATTTTAAAGTATTATAGCTCCTGTTGCTCCTGATGTCTTAAGTGTTTTTCTCTCCCATTAGAATGAAAATTACAATTTGGTGACAATTTTGGGAGGAGTGCTGAAGACTACATTCAAGGTTTTCCAGTGTCTGTTTCATAAACTAATTCACATTGTAGTTGACTCCTGATGACTTCATGAACGCATCCGTGATGTGAACAATACATAACATCGTTTCCCATTCCATTCTTGGATATTTTTTTTTCAGTCTAGCTTACAGTCCTGATATGCTCTGTTAACAAGGCCCTGCCCTGCCTAGATTCCAAGCCTAAGGAACATCAGCCAGTGCTACTATCTGCTGAGATGGTTCATTGTGTTAAAACTTTTAATTGGCCATATCCAGTGTAATAATCTGTTCCTGTTGCAGCCAATCTGGGAAGCCCAGAAATAGATTACATGTGTGATAGTTGGTCCCTAGCACACAATATTGAAAAAAGGATTACTTCCATATATACCTAGATACAAAGTGTTAGTATAGTACCCTATCATGAGACAAAATATGGAAGAACATAGTTTGATCAAACCTAAGAGCACACATGTTTGATTGGAAACAATAATTGAATATACACAATGTTTAATACATGACTAGTGATAATC